CCGGTGCGCCCCAAGGCGACACACTCGGTCGGATGAAACCTTTCTCTAGCAAATCCCTTAGTTTTTCCTTTAGCTCTTTTTATTCTGTCGGCGCCATTCTATAAGGTGGAATGGATATAGGCTGCATGCCTGGCATCACATCAATCCCAAAATCAATCTCCCTGTCTGGAGGAATTCCAAGGAGCTCATCCGAAAATACATCGGGGAATCCATTCACAATTGGTACAGATTCAAGGGTAGGCACCTCAGCAGTGGTTTCCGTAACTCGGATCAAATGATAAATACACCCCTTCCTGATCATCTTCGTGGCCTTAAGGTAAGAAATAAACCTACCTTTTTGCATAACTTTATTCCCCTCCCACTCAACAGCTGGCTCGTTAGGAAACTCAAGCCTCATGATTCTGGCTCGGCAATCGAGTTTGGCAAAACATGAATAAAGCCAATCCATTCCCATTATTACGTCAAAATCAATCATCCCTAGTTCAATAAGATCGGCCATGGTATCCCGACCATGCACCGTGACAACACAATCCCTATAAACCTGTGCGGCCATAATATACTCGCCAATAAGAGTAGATACAGAGAATGACTCATGAAGCTGTTCCGCTTCTATCCTGAAGCTCATAGCAACATAAGGAGTAACATGGGACAAAGAAGATCCGGGATCAATAAGGGCATACACATCATGAGATTGAACAGTCAATATACCTGTGACGACATCTGGGGAAGCCTCTGCACTCTGTCGACCACTCATAGCATAGAATCAGCTCGGTCCTCCCGAACTCTGTGCACCACCCCTAGCTGCACCATGCCCTGTAGGTGCTGGAGGGCCTCGAGCTGGAGGAGGTGCTGAAGATATAGCAGTTGTAGGACTAGATGATTGAGTTGTGCCCCTGCCTATACCCTGACGGGATGCACGACACTCCCTATGAATATGACCTCTCATTCTGCATCTGTAACATACTGGCATGTCCAGGTAGCAGACTCCCGAATGTATCCTCCCATACTTAGGGCATGGGGCCCTCTGCTGCTGCTGGAATCTCCCTCCTTATCAACCCTGATGGTGGGATCCCTTACTGCCCTGACCAGACCTAAAGCGACTCCCCTGCTACTGACCGTGCCCTGATATGGGGCACTAGCTGAAGACTGAGCATAAGACTGGGACGACCCTGATGATCCTCCCCGAAAAGCTGATCTCCCACCTCCGAATGAATCCCCAAGGTTGCCCACTGATCGGGCCCTACTACTACTTTCCCGTTCCAACCTGAGCTTCAACTTTCGAGCCTCCGTAGCTTGAGCAAATGCCACCATTTTCCCATAGTTCATGTCAGAATTTAGAGCAGCTGTGGCAGCCTTATTAATAACCAAAGGGCTAAGGCCTTGCACAAATTGACGCACCCTAGTCCCCATAGTCGACATCATATGAGTAGCATACTTTGACAGGCGCACGAACTCCATGTGATATTCCCACACACCCTTACTACCCTGTTTAAGGGTCTCAAACTCCACAGGACGGGCTGCCTTAGTCTCGGCAAGCAAGAAATGGTCTATGAAGGCATCCGCAAACTCACTCCATCTCGCCAGAGGGCTCCCCTCCTCACAGGAATCCTCCCACATCTCAAACCAGGAATATGCCACCCGTTTCAGATGATAGGAGGCTAACTCTACTCCCTCTGTCTCCATAGAACGCATAATTCGGAGAGTCTTATGCATCTCATCAATGAAATCCTGAGGGTTTTGCCCCGGGATCAGTACCTATGAACACCGGAGGGTCTAACTGAAGGAATATGTTTACCCTGGAACCGGAAGAATCTCCTTGCAAGCTAAATGAGGTGGGTGCAACATTTTTCCTCTGATCCTGGGAAGCTACTAACTGAGTCAACATATGAATAACTCCTCTAAGATCTCCATCAGAAATACCTGGACCGGGAGCAGGGGCTGGAGGTGGAAAAGGTATATCGGCGGGAGGGATTGTTGCACCCTCCGCGGGTGTAGGAACTGGGGTAGTATATTCTGAATTAGACAAATCAGGCAGTGTGATAGTTGGGGGATTATCCTTACCTGCATTATGAAGTAATAGATCAACAACCACTCATGGGGTGGTATTGGCTTCTTGGCCAATTCTCGCTCTCTTCTTAGGTGCCATTTACTGAAAGTTAGAACAATGCACGAGTTAGGGAAAAACAACCTCACGTTCCGCTCTATTGCACGATATAGAACAACAATAAAGGGTATCATTCTTAAATGTCCAAGTAGCCCCCTAATTATAGATGTGGTCGACAACACACCGATAAGAAGTGCTCTACTAGACACGGCTCCGAGACATCCTAGGACACTTTAAAACCTTAGGCTCTGATATCAAGTTTGTCACGCCCCAACCTCGATGTGCGCAACCGGCGCTCAACCGAGTGAACCCGGTCGAGCAAGCCTAGTAAACCTTTTCTACCCGACTCATTCATAATCCAAAAAGGGAACATATCACCATTTGTAAAATAGGGGAGAGAGNCCCCAACCTCGATGTGCGCAACCGACGCTCAACCGAGTGAACCCGGTCGAGCAAGCCTAGTAAACCTTTTCTACCCGACTCATTCATAATCCAAAAAGGGAACATATCACCATTTGTAAAATAGGGGAGAGAGCAGTTATATAAATATATAAACATTGCTAGTTCATTTTTCCTTATATAGGTACATTATGCCATAGTTGAGTTTCCAAAATACAATTCGATACAACGACCACCCCAACACACATACATGACCCACATAAACATCTATGGAGCCTCTAAGGGTACAACAGAGTAACATGACAATGCCGGCAACAAGGCCCCGACTATACCTCAAAATATGAAAACGTATACAAAAGAAGGACTACATGACCCCTACGAGGAATGGGGCTCACCAAGACTGCTGTGAGGAGAGAAATAGAGGACCACTATCTGCGATCGGCACTAACTGCGATGAAACCACCTACATCCATTCAAAGATGTAGTGCCCCTTGCAAAAGGTACGTTAGTATTGTCGAATAGTACTAGTATGTAAGGAAAACACCAATCTTAGTGGAATGAACAGTGAAACAAAGAGAAAGCAGTCATAATAATCAATAAGTACTTCACAGAAATACAAAGAAACACCAAGTAAGGATCACATAATTTCCAATTCAATCTTTCCATCTTTTAGGTTAATAATCTTTAGTGCCAAAGCCACAACTCACAATGCCACCGTGTTTTTACACGGAGTCCGGTCTCGACCCGACCGGCTAAGCCATATCAAGTGTGACATATCCATATCCACAATGTAATTCAATAATTCCAACACAAATGCCACCATGTGTACAATATGGCATCCGATCTCTGCCGATCGGCTAAGCCATCTCACTTGAGACATAACCTCATTCAATTGCTCACTCAATTCACATCTCTTTCCTATCTTTCGTTACATGGCACAAACAACCTCATTTATTAAGTAGTTCTTGGCACTTGGGCACATTTTACAATTCAAGTCTTTCCCTTTTTATTCGTTCAAATAACGTCATCATTCATGTCGATAAGTACCATCACATAAGGCATTGTGCACATAAGGGAAGGAGCTTGGAAAATCATAATTACGTTCTCAAATAGCATGATGACATGATAAACATCTAAAACAATTAGGGAACATAAATCTTTCAACCCAACACACTAAGGCAAACAATTCTAGTATGATCAAGTCGGAACTTACACCAATTATTCGGACACCAGGAGTTCGATTCTAGGAAAAAGAGAGTTAGCCATACATACCTCAATTGCGCTTCTTTAGACTCTACAATTATCCGGAACCCTTAGCAACCTCAATCTATTTTAGTAATATACAAATTGAACCCAAAATTAGAAAAACGTTCATGGTTCTAGTTAACTTTTTTATTTTTCTCACACTCTTTATCACATGCATGCAAGATGAACCACCCTCATACCCATGAAGTATCACCCTAGTACCCCATTATAGCTATGTTTGAAATTAAGAGTTGGGATGATGAGGTCTTACCTTTTAGGATGAAGAATTTGGTGCTCTACTTGAATATTTCCAAAGCCTTGAGTGATGGTTGAAGATTAATTGATGAAAATTAGGCCCTCCCTCTAGAACCCTCTTTCTCCCACTCTAGAAATATCAGAAATGAGCTTCAAAATAGACTAAAGGGTGTTTTAACGGAATGGGGGTCGGGTTTTAAATTAAGAAAATGGGTGCCCCGACACAGGTCTGCGGTCGCATATGCAACCGCATAATGGTTATGCAGTCTGCAAAGTTACCGCATAAATGGCCCTCAGGGGCCTGAACTTTCAGCCTAGGTATGCGACCAGTATGCGGTCCACATACTTGTTCTGCGGTCGCATAATGCACCGCAGAACTCCCTCCGCTAAAACCCAAGAGGGATTATGCGACCGATATGTGGTCCGCATAGTGGTTATGGTGTCGTATAATCGACCGCAATGCTGACCTCAAATTGGCCAACTTACTTCTTCACTCTGCGGCCATTATGCGGTCCGCAGAGTGATTATGCGGCCGCATAATGGGCCGCAGAAATGCGTTGAAACATTTTCCTCTCAGTCCGTAGGGTACTGTTCAATCCAAAATGTTAGAACCGCGGCGAGCAAGCTCGCCGCGAAGGATTTCTACTATAATAATGCAGGAATCTACCATGGCACCACGAAACCCCGAGGTTTTGGTTTAAATGTTTACGGGTCGTTACACTAATACCCATAATTAATCAATTTAAGCAATTTCCAACTCCGCTCAAAAAATTGATAAAGCCAACCCTCGGGCCCAAGTGCCTGGATTCCGAAATGTTTTGAAGATAAACCTTACCCATAATACCAAAAACTCAAATACATAATTTATTCCTAATTCCATGTCCAATTTCTTGGTCAAAATCCAAAAAGACCAGATTCTAGGTTTTCAACAAAAAATCCCAAATTCCTACTAATTTCTATGTTTAAATCCATATACAAATCATATATTTAACTTGTAATAGGTGGGAGTCATTTACCTTGCCATAGATGATGAAAAGCTCCACTTGAAGCTCTCCAAAAATCGCCGAAAACCAAAAGAGAATGAAAGTAAATGGATAAATCCCGTTCTTAAAAGAACACACTGCCTAGTGACCTTTCGTACCTGCGGAACAGTAGCCGCTTCTACGGAAGCCACCTCGCAGATGCAGCTTCTCCCAAGGTGGAAGATTTCAGCTTCTACGGGCCCTCAATCACAGATGCGCATCCGCTTCTGTGGAAACCCCCCTGCATCTGCGGACTCTCTAGCTCGAGCAGCCTTCCGCACATGCACCTACGGTCTTCCAACTCCATACCACCTCCGCTTCTGCGCTCCTTCGCCCGCATCTGTGTGCCCGCAGGTGCAGTAAACTCCTTGCACCTGCATCTCCAACCAACCTTAAGCCCAACCGCTTCTGCGACACTAGGGTCGCTTCTGCGGTCTCGCACCTGCGGCCCTTTCCACGCAAGTGCAATTACACCATATCCCAGCTTCCTAAACACTGCTCCTAAGTCCAAACTCGATCTGTTTTCAATCTGATTCGCACCCGAGGCCCCCGGGACCCCGTCCAAATATACCAACACATCCCAAAATACAATACGAACTTAGTCGAAGCCTTAAACCATGTCAAAAAACATCAAAATCATGAATTGCGCCTCAAATCAAACTTATAAATTTCCAAATTCTATATCTTGTGCCGAAACGTATCAAATCAATCCGGAATGACTTCTAATTTCGCACACAAGTCATAAATGACATAACGAAGCTAATCCAAGGCCTAGAATCCCAAACGTACATCGATAACATCAAAATCCACTTCAAAATCCACCTACCCGTGCCACCACAATCCCATTGAACACATTAACTTAATTCAGACTGAAGATCCTCCCTTTTATTTAGTTAATAAGCCTTAGAACCAAATTCCAACCTCCGAATTTCTCTACAGAAGCTTACTCTAACATACGAACACCGTACCAATCACCACATATTGTACCACCGCATAAGTCAGTTGCCCATAATAACATCCTCTGACCACAATAGCTAGAATTTCACGAATCTGGGGCCCGCAATATGTCTTATGATGCATATAAGTCTTGTTCCAACTCTCGAAATACTGCCACAGCGGAGGAGATGTGTAGAAACTAATAACCACCTGNCCTTTCCACGCAAGTGCAATTACACCATATCCCAGCTTCCTAAACACTGCTCCTAAGTCCAAACTCGATCTGTTTTCAATCTGATTCGCACCCGAGGCCCCCGGGACCCCGTCCAAATATACCAACACATCCCAAA